TAATTATATTTTAGATTTTTTATATTTAAAATGAGATATTTATCTTATATTTGATTATGTTTATCTGCAGTTAGTTACACGAATTCAGATATGGAGTTTTAATAAGTTTTACTTGCGCACAATCTAATTATAATCTTGAGCTTTAAGTAACATGCATTAATAAACAGTACTTTATGCGTAAAAAATGATTTTTAAGAGTTTTTGTCAAATATTTTATAATATAGTATAGATATATTAAAAAAATAAAGTTGTCATAAATCATAAATAAAATGCATTTAATGTAATATTTATAGTAAAAAGAATCCCAATTTGCGATTATTCCCCTCCGGTTTGCGAAGTGCCCCCAAATCTAATAAAAAAATGAAAAAGTTATAAATTAAAAGCGGGTATTTTAGTATCTCAGATAAATTGTTTAAAATAAAAAAAAATGTCAAAAAAATAGAGATTTTGAGTCAATATGTTGTCTCAATATATTTCTTAGAACAATCTTCAAAATGAGGAGTATGAAAGAGAGTTTTTTCCTTAAAATTTAGAGAACACATTAGAAATATTTTTTAATATATTTCATGAATAAAAAACTTCAAAAAAAATATATAGAGAGAAATATAATATTTTAATAAATAATTAAAATATTTTAATATTATAATCAATATTAGATTCTTAACCATAAGGGTGGTATCTGATTGGTTTGAGTTTGAGCTTCAAATGTCAAAAATGCTGGAGTTTCCAGGTTTAAATACAAGAAGAAATAAAAATTCTCTTGTGACCACGGATGTTCAAATGCGATAACTCATGTCTATTTACAAAACAGGTGATTGTTATTGGATTAGTTGGTTCACATGACATGTTGGATATGCAAGTTAATTAAAAAAATATTGAATTCTTTAAAATGAAGAAGTCATTGAAAATGAATATATTTTTTTGAGGATGTTGACTTTTGACTGTAAATTTTTAAAATAAAATTGAAATGATTTTACACTAAAAATTACACCATGTAATTTTTGACTAAAATAAAGCAGAATTTCAAATCAGAGAGTCAAAGATTTGGTCCATTTTCAGGATTATCACTTAATTAAACCTATTTAAAGACTTACTTTTTCAATTATTTTAAAAAATAAAAACAAATTATTTGTCTTTTTTCCTTTTTTTTCCCCGTAAAATCCTTGGAGGCTAAGCTTTGAAATTAATTATCAAAAAAATTTAAATAAATAATTTATTTTTTCATATATTTTTGGATAATTCTTGGAGGCTAAGGTTTCTAGAAAACGTGTACGAAGCTTCTTTTTAGTACCACAAAAAGACAACAGAATCACTTTTCTCCTTTCTCTCCACTCCATTTCCATTTCCCTTTCCCTTTTCCGACTCTTTTCTTTCGCTTATAATAAGCGAATGCTCGTCGACTTCCGATTTCAAAATCCCCCAAAATTTCTGAATCAATTTTCCGATCTGAACCCACACAGACACAGTTGCAGGTGGAAATCAACAGCTGATGATGGTGAAGCTAACAATAGTTGGAAGGCTGAATGATGGGTTACCTTTATCACAAGGACCCATTTATGCTAACGATGACGACGTCACCACCATCTTCAAACAACACGCAGAGTTCTTGCTTCATGAAATCTCCACGGCGGCGTTGCCACCTTCCGCCACCACCATCTTCCACCATCACCATTGCTTCAAGTATGTTGCATATTATTCCACCTACACACCACCAATGATGCTTAAGTAACTAGAACATCAAATGTATGGTTGTTTGGTTGGTTTTTTATTAAGTCATCTATGGATAAAACTCTCTACATAAATTAATTTGTTTTTATATAAGTTGTGAGACCCGTTAAGCTGCCGACAAACAAGTCCTAAATATTATAGTAGACAGCTTTATAACATGTACACTTATTAGATCAAATAGTTATACGTCTTACATAAATGTGTTACAATAAGTTGATGAAGACATATTTCAAGCACTCTAACATGTTTGTTAGGACACTTTTGAACCAAACTGTTTTCTTAATCCTTTTCAAAACGGTACTAATAAACTCGTTAGGATGCTCAAATACATCATATTACAACACGTTTATATATTTAACTTATAATTATTTGGTTTTATAAACTTAAGTCAAAGAAACAGTCTTTTATGACATTTAGACATATTTTACGTCCAATAAAACAGATTTTGTACCAGTGGTCTGTGGAAAACATGTTGACTAATGATCTGAGTCTAACTCTTGTGAATGAAGCTACATGGTGAGGAATGGAATTTGCTTCATCACATTATGTGATGCTTCATATCCAACAAAACTTGCATTCCATTACCTTCAAGATTTGCAAAAGGAGTTCGACAAGGTCGATCGAGAATCCGTCGAACACGTTACCGAACCATACAGCTTCGTCGAATTCGGTAAATATATATGGTCGTCTGATTTAAGTTTTGGTTCTCATGTTCGTAGATAAACGATTTCTATTATTTATGTTTCTTTTCTTGATCTGTTTTACGATATGCAGATAAAGTTATTTGTAACATCATAAGACAATATATCGATACAAGAACTCAGGCAAACTTATTGAAGCTAAATGCTAACCACAAACAACAACTGAATGTTCATACCGAACAAATGTCGATGGTTTTTGAAAGGAGGAGAAAATCAGGTAAGAAGAGAACGTTCATATATGAATCACTAAGGTCCCGTTTGGTTTGAAGGAATGGAATAGAAAATCAAATACATTTTAATCTCATGTTTGGTTTGTTGTATTATTTGGATTTGAAATCCTAGGATTTAATTAAAATCCTTTAAACATAAGATTTTGAAATCTTTTGAAAGTGTTCGGGATTTCAAAGAATTTCGTATGATTGTATATAATAAGGTTTTAATTTTTTTTTTTCTAAAAACACTTCAATTCAATTATTTTTATATTTATTTACCATTTATTCTATAAATTATTTATAAATAATGAAATCCAATTTCATCCAAATCCTACAAACCAATTATTTCAAATCCATCCAAATCTGAATTCCTTAAAAATAATCCTGCAAATCAAACGGACCCTAACTGTTTATTTTCTAACATGTTCGTATTTTCGAATCATCAGATTTACTCGAGAGAATGATGAGAGCACATAAAAGTACTTCCCCTGTGTGGGGATCCAACACTCTTCCGGTAAATAAATACAACAATTAAACTTTTTTTTTTTTTAACCGTGGGTGTCTGGGGCAATTTGTGTACACTTCAACCAATAACTTCCACCATAGTTTTATTTTGGATTCGAAGTTATTGGGTCAGTATGTTGCTTTGGGCTTTGGGGGGTGTTACAACTAGAATCCGTGACCTCTAATGAGAATCCCTAAAGGCGCAAGCCTTATTGACAATTGAACCAACTACACAATTAAATTTAAATCCATTTGTTGGCACCTTTTAAATGTCGTAGAAAATTATATTAGAATGTCTAACTGCGTACTATCAAATTATTCTGACACATTTATATAGAACGCACAATTGTTTGGTTCCATGTCTTGTAAAACAGTCTGTTAAAATATTTAGACATCTTTAACATTCTATAAAACCGTATTTAATGTATGATAGTGCACGTTTTCCCGTTCAATACCCTTTTTAGGGTCTAAAAATCGCTCATGACTTTTATATTTCACAGGTTATTGCGGTGAAATGGATACCGATCACAATCGTCTTCGTTGTTGCATTCGTTCTTTTAGGGAGCAGCTTAGCCGTATGACGAGGACCCCGTTAATTTCTAGAATTAGAGCATGAGAATTTGTAAAGTTGATCGTTCTCAAGAGATGGAAAGGAGAAATCTGCATATTTGCATTTTGATCGATGTAACAATTAATGATTCATTTCAATTTTTATTTTGATAAGTAATAAAGTTGTCTGTATGGATTAATCTTTCTATATAGATTGAGAATGTTTTGTTTGAGAGAGTTTTTCATAGATAGAAGGAACGTGTTTTTTAATTCGAAGGGATAAGTTTGAGAAAAACTTGACTTTATGGATAAAGTTATTTCCAAGAAGCTTATTGAATTAATGTCAATTTCTATATCATTAAGCCATTACCAAACATTCATGTATAACTGATTGAATAAGTTGTGAATCTCATTAAACTCAATAAGCTGCTAACAAAGAGACTCTCAATTTCTTGAGTAATTACTGCTTAGATATACATTAAAATATCGTCTATGTTAAAATCTTCAACATGGAAGTCAAAAATTTGGTCATTTGCGATCTGGGTATCAAACATATCTTCGTTTGAACCATCATTTAGATAGTTTTGAGTCTCACTGTTATCTCTTGATCCTTCGTTATGCTGGTAGCCATGGCTAAGATGATCAGTGGACCGGTCAAAGTCCTGTTGAAACTCTTGATCTTGGCTGGTCCAGTCAACAGATAACCTGCTGACGTGAGAAACTAGTGGGACCGACTGATCCATGTCAGTAAACGAACTGTTGGTGATGTCAGCAGATAAGCTCGAGTTTGTGTGATTTTCAAGTTCAGGAGGAGCATCTGGTTTGGCAAGTCTTTTTTTGAGGTAAGAATGCCAGTGATTCTTTATCTCGTTATCCGTTCTTCCAGGCAAATGCTGCGATATCCGAGACCACCTAATAAACAAAAATAAATAAATCTAATTTATAAAGATAGCATTAAATTCTAGAAAACATATAGGCATAATTAGTTACTTGTTGCCTAACGATGCGTGGAGGGTCAAAATGGTTTTTTCTTCTTGTGACGAAAATGGTCCTCGTTTTAATCCTGGCCTCAGATAATTAATCCATCTTAATCTGCAACTCTTTCCGTCCCTCTGCAGACCTGAAATGAAAGAACGGGTTTGGTAAAACTCATATTCCCTTAATTATTTTATGAGAACCAGTTCAAATAAGACAATTAAATATCAGTATAATTAATTAATTACCGGCATAAATAGGGACGGATTTCCAGGCAACACGACCATGGTTGATGATAAAGCTTTTTAGCTTTAGGTCTTCATCAGGTGACCATAACCCCTTCTTGTTGTTGGCTTGTGGCGTTTCTGATGGCTTGGGCCTCATCTTCATACCAACAATAATTTAAATAAATTATTACGAATTTTTTAGTATAATTTCTGTTATTTTAAGAAAAAAGAGAATGAAGACATTGATGGATGAGACTGTAGATGCTATTTATATATATGTTATATATAATATTATATATATTATATATATATATATTATATAATATATTATATATATATATATATTATATAATATAATATATATAATGTATAATTTAAATTATAACTTTTGGAATAACATATTATATATACATAATATATAATATATCTATATTGATATTAATTATAATATAATCGTTTTTACTTATATATATATTTTATATAAATTGTAATATATAATATACATATTATAACCACAATGGTGGTGCCTGATTGGTTTGAGCTTGGCTCCAAAGGTCAAAAGTACCAGGAGGTCTCATGTTCAAATCCAAGGAGAAATAAAAATCCCCTTGTGGCCACGGAGGTTCAAATGCGGTGACTCCGAGCTATCTGCAAAGCAGGTGGTCGTCCTGGGATTAGTCGGCTTGCATAGCGGGTTGAATATCCAGGTTAATCAAAAAAATATATACATATTATAAATTATAATTTTATTTTTGGTAATAAAACTATTTAAATGATATTTTAGAGGTGATGTGGTCATTTTAATAATTTTTTCATTGGACTCGTGTTCTCTTCTGGTCATACTAAATGCATGACGAACAATTAGTCATATCCTATCCACTCATGTCTATCTAGTTTGTGTATATCTAAAATACAAGAAAATAAACTACAACAAAACCAGGTTTATTGAACGCCAAAAATGACCAAGGGTCGTTTACCAAACACTTACCTGGTAGACGCTTACCGGGAAATTTTAACATTACCATTTACTAACCGTGTAAAATTTTAGTCCACCAAAACGGCATCGTATTCAACAATTTACCCAGTAAGTACTTACCATTGTAAGAGTCGTTGCCATCACTTATCGGGTAAGACTTTTGGTCCTTGTCTCGTTCTTACCGGGTAAGATTCTTGATTCTTACCATATTCATCCAGTAAGGTAATGTGATTTGGTAAGCGCTTACCCGGGTAAGCGTCAGTGTAATAATAAACAAGCCTACAAGACTTAAGTTTATAGGGTCAAACAATAAAATGTTATATCTAAAAGTGTTACAATAAGTTTATATGATATTTTGGACATCTTAACAAGTTTTTTAAGACATTTTAAAAATAAAAATAATTTTATTGGTACACTTTTGAAGAAAAGTGTTCTATCAAAACAAGTGTCTTGTAAAAACATATGTCCACATAACATTTATCAAAAGTTTTATATAAAATAACCAATATGACAAACTATTCTAAAATAACCTGTTAAAACGTCGTATAAACTTATTGTATGATACAAATCATCTCACTTTTTTCATTATTGTTGCACAAATAAAATGTTACAGAGAAGTCTTAGCATATAAAGAAATCTTGTGTCAGACTGGCTAAGTCATCACAACTATACAATGATACATCACTATAGCTCAAGTTTTGACACATCTTATCTGCACAGATTAAGTCATACAAATCATTTTCTACATCTTGATGATCCACCAAACCATAGCTTGATCCTTCATTCAGCTGTCCACTACCATTCATAACTGATTTTTGAAGGTCGGAAGAATAACGATACGTGTTTCTTGAAACTAACGACCGGTACGAAGTGTCAAAGTTGCGAAATTGATCTAGTGCGAGCCAATCAGCAAATATAATCTTTGGTAACTTTCTGGAACCATCGGCTTCCGAATAAGGCGTGGAGGACCCTTCCAGGTGTCCAGAAGATTCTAGACTTGAATCTCCTCGTGTATAGTTCAACGGAGATGGAATTTTCTGTGTGTCTAAAAATACAGCTCGAGATTTCGTGTTTTCCAAATTCTCTACTTTCTTCTTCATATAAGAATGCCAGTGGTTCTTTATCTCATTATCAGTCCTTCCAGGCAAATGTTGTGACATCTGAGACCACCTGAGCAATTTTAGTGTTTCCCCCCATCAGTTTCTTTAAAATAGTTTTAACAAATTACATTAATCATCGTTCAAGACCACCGCTAATTTGCATTCATAATACGATCCCTTTTATGATGACGATGAAAAATAAACAAAAGGTAATGGTTGCTTACTTATTGCCTAGCATGCCGTGAAGGGTTAGGATGATCTCCTCCTCGTGTCGGGTGAATATTCCTCGCTTTAATCCTGGTCGAAGATAATTAATCCATCTTAATCTGCAGCTCTTCCCATTCCTTTGCAAACCTGATAGTCAAAAAGAACCAAGCACTAATCATGAAACTTGCTGGCACTGGATTTAAAGTCCATGTTTTCTATGTAGAACTCAAAAAATTTGTCAAAAAGATTGTTAATTTGAGGTGGGTATGACCTCACAAATGGTTATATGTTAAAAGATCGAATCTTTGAACAGTTATTCATAAACTTACCAGCATGAGTGGAGACAGCACTCCAGCAGCCAAGACCATGGTTTAGAATGTAATCTCTGAGCTTTTGATCTTCATCCGGTGACCATAATCCCTTCTTATGCTTTAGCTTTGCGTTTTCTGATGACTTAGACCTCATTGTGAAGAATGGGAATCTAATGAACAATAAATGAGAAACACGACTTCATGCGAGTAATAGAAAGTGAGGCTATAAAAAGAAGATTCCTTATGATATAAACTTATTAAATAATCAAGTTGGCAGACCTCCTTGTACATTTTACCCAAAGAGAACAGATTGATTAACCTAATGCACAAAGTGAATCTACAATATAAATAAACGCACGAATAACTGTCCCCTTGAGAGAATTTGAGCTAAACCTCTATACGATAGCATTTGACTTTGACTGTCGACGTAATACACTCCACAAAATTTCGAAGAAACTAACTGATATGCATTTATCAACCAGTGGTTCGTTTTCTTGGTGATGCAAAAGTTTGTTATCTCACCAGCTGAGGTCATAATGACGCAAACAAGCCGACTTTTTAACAGAGAGATGTATGAATAAATTGTTAATCTACCCTATGCGTAACTCTGATTGAGATAACGAAAAGGTCGTTGGTCAACCTCTAAAATAATGACACGGTATAACTATTATCACCCTTTGTCTGAGATGGGGGGGCAGGTAGCAGCCGCTCCAATAGGAAAAGAAGAAAATGAATAGATTAGGGGGGAGTAGAAGTGCACTCTTTTGACTGCTTCTAACTTTGCAATTTGTGTATCTATATATATAAGAAACATAAACCTTATGTCAACTCTCTCTTATAGTCAAAAACTAATTAACTAATACCTTCCCTTACACTCATGGTTTCCATGCCAATGAACTATAATATCCGAAACAAAGTCTACTTAATCTAACATTAGGGTGATTGGGAAACTTCCTTCGATCAACACAATTCCAAGAAAATTACCATGAGTGGAGAACCTAAAGATGAAGTTTCTGTTCACCAAAATCATCAGTAATGCTTATTTTAAATGCATCGTCATCTTTCAAGAAACCAATTTAAAAACAGAATCAATTCTGGTGACATTTCTTATCAACTTTTGCTCCAAATGGGAGTATTTCTGTGTTTTTTACTCGTTACAGCAGTTCATGTAAGTTTATCCATTATATTGATTTGTGAAATTTAGTCACCCTTCACAAGATTCCAGTGGGAAAAGAAGAGAGTTTGTTATGAAGAATGAGCTGAAAAGCTCATTAGAATACTACAAAGTAAGTAAACTACTACATTGACCTGTGAAACGTGTTAAGTTTCATTGGAATCCAAGTTTTGTGGGAAAACTATATCATCTTTACATGCTGGATGAAACAAAACCCAGCGAGTCAGCAGGCAGGCCTGAATGTAAAGAAATCCCATTTAGTAAGCAGAAGATTAATCAAATGAATATCAACATAAGCATAAATAGTCTATATCAATTACTACATTATCTTCGACTACCCAGATAGACCAATATTCATCTTTTAAAGAGAACAAAAAAAAGATGCAAATTAGCAAAAATTGAACTTTTAGAACAGAAATGAATATAAACATGGACCAACTCACTTCATGATTGGTTAACCATCAATGACTTCATCCCTTTGGCTGCCCTTGAACCTGGGAACACGTCAGCCATGGCTCGTGGTAACTTATCAGAACTATATAAATCACAACACACATAGCAATTAGTAGATAAAGTATGAGATTTGTACCTTTTTTTCTCATTTACAGTGAATGATAATATTATATGGCTTCGTAGGGTCAAATATAGAAGCTTAAAGTCTAACGATATATATGCATCACTATCAAATTGCTAATTGAAGAAACAAATCCACTCTTACATATGGAAAATTTATCTTTGAAAGCAGTTAATCTCCAATCATTTACTTTTCTTGGTTGACTGCTGAATGGGACAGGCTCAGGCTTTAGCAAATTTTCTAATAAACTAATCTGATCATACCATCATAATTGACTTATTTGTTAATCTGCCCTCTTTATTATACTGAAGTGTTCTCACTCTGTGGTCCTGGAAAGTTAGGCATGATTCCTGCTTACGTGTTGTTCCCCTGCTCATAAATTGTCACTATCCACCATCAACTTCGCCTTCCTAAATGTCATTACAATATCATCTGCAATGATCACCCTTTTGGTCCTCACTCATCCTCCAAAAAGGTTCACAATTACTATTTCTTTCAATGAACACCAAATATGCACATGAGAAACTCAAAATCTCTCAACTAATGAAATTTGACTTTTAGAGGGTACGGTTATGATGGGATTTTGAGAAACGCGTTAGGGTATCATCAAAATACCTCAAAGAGGCTCCAAAATTGATCTGCTTGGAAGAATGCCAACTTCAAACTTAGGTGTGATGGGGCACAGTAAGTGGCTAAACTTGTAATGATGAAACTATTAGCAGTAAAACTGTCCAACCCATAAAATATACCAATCTTCTACATTTTAACAATTAAACAAGAGTTGCTGTTCTACTTTAAAAAAGATAAAGTGAAAAGGAATTGTTATAGAGAATACAGACATTATGTTTGCTTAAACTACTTGACACTAATGGTAGTTTAAATTTAAACTACTGAATACTGATGGATGAACCTTAAGGCACACCCACTTTCTTCATCTCAATGCAGCAAACTGTCATTCTAGCTATATCATCAGACTCTTCTTCTTTAGCTTCTTGTCAACTCATCGAGTTTATGAATGGATCATGTTGAACTGAAATCTAGACAGCTGCTGCGGAATGGTGGATATGACAGGCCCATATCTCTGCATTAAAATGTACAACAATATACAAAAATTTGACTAAGAAAGATTAAACGTTTTCTAAATAACAGGGGCAGCCCCCAGACCCTTTTACCCTCCTGTCAGCTGTTTAAGTCAGCATGCCACAAACCAGGTGCTTGAGGTTTTTTGACTTTTTTAAACTTCTTTTTTACCTGTATATGGTCTTAAATAAGAGGTATGTGGAACCATTGATATAACACTTCTTGTAGGCATGTTGGGTTCCGGTGAGAAGGAGAGTTAAAGGTGAGAAGCGTAAGAAGAGATCTCCACCCTTGGATGCACATTAGGATGAGATGCACCGAGATGCACTGGATCAATCCGTGTATCAAGTGCGATTCAAAGGTGGGTTTGAGATTAAAGGTGACCAAGGGTCCAGATCCCTTCTTAAGTTTCTCACCTTTAACTCTCCTCACACGATCCTTTGCCTCTTGTAAGCTCTTAAAATATCATTGAGTAATAGTTGAATCCACCACACCTGAACATTGTCATAGAGCTCGAACAATGGAACAGCAAGAAGTTTTAAATTTTTGGGCACTGCAAAGTACTCTCTTTCTGACAAGTGAACAAGGAAAAGTTTCTTACACTCCTGCATAATCAACCAGACCAGAAAGACCATTGTTTAGACCGATTGGAATGGGTAGATAGGAGACAATCTAAGAAGTCAGCCACAAGAGGAAGAAAAAAATAATCAAGATGCATTTATGCTATGATATTTTCTTTTTTTTACCTTGGGTTTGGTTATGTGTGGAGGGCAGTACGGGTACATTATGGTCTCAAAATTAGGCCTCCACCAGATGGCGACACACTCTCCTATCTGCAATTAGATGCCAGTTGCAAGAAGGACAAACCCATCAAAATCATGAAATCTTTAAATTTCCAAGATGATCAGATAGTTCGAGATGTGTAAAGAGAAAGGCTACACTTTCCATTAAGAACATGTAAAACAGTTGACCACATGAATGTAATTTGAATGCAAGAATTCCAAGTAAAGATCTTCGTTCTACCCAGGGTATAGTGAAGAACAAAGACCCCAACAACAAAGCTTAAGACCCAAGAGGTACCTGCCAATCGGGCTGAAGACCAGTAGAATTAGCTGCAAGTTTGCTAGACAATTTCCTTTTCAAGCCCTCAATTTCTGCAGAATTAAAAAGTGCTACATGATTTGATATGCAAAACATGGTACCGTAGCTATCAAAGAAGTATAAAAGTATACCATTTTCTCCTGGCTTCAGACGACCACCAGGAAGTTTGCAGAAAGTGTTCCCGATTTGTAAAAGCAAAATGTGAGGATGATTATGCTCCTGTACCTGCTAGATTAAGCCGGTTATTAATTTTCCATTGAAGCAGCTTAAAAATACAGTCACCATGTGGAGCCATCCATGCTTATAAAGATAAAATGATGAAGAGACATCAACATACAACCAAAAACAGGCATGGTGAAATTGAGTTCTTAGGGATGAATACATGTTCATTAGTACTTGCGAAGACATAATACACAGAATATTTCCTTACGTGATATTTGGGAAACCACCGTTCAACCTGGAAGCCATAATCATAAGAATACAACTTATGTTGCTGAGATTTCACGATTTGGAAGTCAAATGCAAACATAATGAGAAAGAATAGAGTTGGTAAGGATCTACATCCAAAACGAGTTAACCTGACACAATCTACGTGGCATGAGAAGCCTGTCCATCACACTACTTTGCCTATAGATAGTTACAGATGGACTGAATTTCATAGTATGTAACGTGTCAGAAAGCGAGGATACATATATATATATATATATATATATATGCACACATATATGGAAAAATATATTGACAGAAATATACTAATTACTTGATGAGAGTTCACAACAAATAGTTTGCAACCTTAACTTCGCTTGCAAATCTAAGCACATTGCCATGAAACTAGCACCAAAGTATGTATACTTTACAAATTCAAGATAAATCTTGGCCACCAAAATCTGTCCATTATGTACAGAAACAACTTTGCAGCACCAAACATGATCTGGGCTTGCAACTCAAGCTAGCCTTACATCTATACATGTCTTGAAGTCTAATCTAAAGTCTAAACTTCTGTTACAATACTCAAATAATGCTGCAACTGTTTCAAGAAGACACAAAATAAGCTACTTTTACATGAACTGTGATATAACAAACAACAAACTCTGTATTAAAGAAGAAGATAGAAAGACCAGCAAAATTCCTTCAACGCTGGTCCTCATGCCTTCCTTCATATAGCTGCAACACAAATCAAATATAATTAAAAAAAACCATTTAATTAGTGCTGTGAGAACAATATATGATAAAAACAAGGAATGTAATATAACACTCAATTTGTTCTAAAAACGAAGAGCTGTTGTCCCAACCCCATCAAAGCTAACATTTATTCAAAGTTCATATTATCAACTGACCCTTATATTACTGATTTATGTGGTGTAAACAGTTAGACATTGCTGAATTAGCATGAATTCATGATCTTGCCTTCCATAACTCTAAATGATCTTTACTAATTGATGTTTTCTTGAACGATATATAATTTATACAGTTACATAACCTGATGTAGCATATATTCCAAGAAAATATCAGCCGCTCCCAATATACTATTTTGGTTTCGCCCCTGAAATCTAGGGTTTTTTGCGTAAAGGGGATGAAACCCCAGGTAAACTTGTATTATTTGACAAACAACTTGCGAAAATCCGATGGGCATACACATCGCAAAATGTCTACCCAAACATGCTTTCGGTACATAGTTAGGGTTTTGATTGTAGAACAATCGCAAGAAATGTTGCAAACAACAGCTCCATGGTTTATAAGAACAGAATTAGAAAATTCAAGAAATTACGAGGGTCAGAAAGATTAAAAAAAACTTACTTAACTTTCATACGAGCGAGACGATCAGCGACGGAAGTGTCCTTCTCCATCTTCGGCTCCTTGGTGCCGAAGGTATAGCTCGACAATGGATACGTATTCACCACCGCCGACGTTACCATCTTTACCTGAAAAAAGTTTCCCTCTCTAGAATTGAAGGTGAATTTTCCGACCGCCTGAGGTAGGATAAATAGGAACTTCTCGATGCTCTCGAACCGCCGGCCTTTCGCCGCTGTAAGTATGAAATATTTGGGCTTATTAACCCATAAATATTTTGGGCCTGAGCCCAAACCAGTTATTTACCCTTTTTGTCCTTTTTTTTAATTTAATAAAACAAAAACCCCAAATACAGGATAGGTAATGGGTTCGATCTCTTCGTTAGTCTTAGCCGCTTAGTTAGTAAAAAAAAATACCCTCTTACATTGACATATTTGGAGGCAGGTTTCGTATAAAACCGATTGGAGTCATCAATAAACAGCTTTTGTCCAAAAACCTCAACTTATCAAAAAAAGACCTTCATCTTTCCGCTTTTCTTTTATTTGTAGATTATATAACTTTATTTTTGAGATGATTATATATCGGGATTGAGTCTTTAGACATTTTTTAACAAAGAATCATGGGATTTTCTAAAACCATATAGTCTCAGGTTCAAATCCAAGAAGGAATAAAAATCCCCTTGTGGCCACGGAGGTTCAAATGCGGTGACTCCGGGCTATCTGGAAAGCAGGTGGTAACCTTAGAATTAGTCGGCTCGCATAGCGGGTTGATTATCCAGGTTAATCAAAAAAAATTTAACGTTAAACATATTCAAATACAATGTAACTACCGATTCTTACTAAATATTATATCATTAAAACAAAAACTAATTACGTATTTTTCGTTTCAATCTAAAATATTTAGAGAGTAATTTACATTTTTCCTCGTCGTGCTTTTGTGATTTTATATACCAATTCTTATGAGAGGGTTATTTAGTGGTTGGTCTTTTATATAACACAGATAAAAAACAAAGGTGCTTAAATTAACCTCTATATTTAAAGGTCAAAAATATTGGCCTCTATAACTTTTTTTTTTTCGTAGTATTAGTTTTATGTATGACAAATGCAACAAATAACTCAAACACGTTATTTATTTTTTGTGAGGTTTGAACCCTTAACCGATAGGGTGTCAGAGGCCTTTTGATTGGCCTCTATAACTTATATACTATTATTCCACGAGTCTTTATAATATTTTTATATATTGATTAATAATTTGTACTGAATATATTTATTTTTGTGTTTTTAAATCATAAATTATATTTAAATAATTTAATTTAATATTTAGAAAAAATGTTATACAAATAAACTTGTTATCTATTATTAACTATAATATTAGAGATATTTTATAATGTGTAATTGAAGTTGTTCTTTTATGTGTATACGGCGTCTAGACAGAGTAGGACATGACATAATAGAACGTGACATGATAGAACAATTGTTCAATATTTGATAAGATAAAACTGGACAGAACATGACAAGTAAAATGATTAATTTACTCATGATAAGTTGTTTATTTTAATTATTTTATGTTATTTATTAAATTATAATAAAATAATTATTTTTTATAACAAAATATATCGTTAGAAAGTCTTCCTTGAAAAAATTAAAATGACACCAAATAAAAAAATTATGCAGTTTCCAGTTTTTACTTTTATCTCTTTTCTACATTATTTATTATTATTATTATATAATAATTTACATAAATCTATACTATATTACAAAACATATGACAAAAACTCTTAAAAACCATTTTTATGCATGAAATATTGTTTATTGATCCATATTACTTAAAATTCAAGATTAATTTTGTGTGAGTACAACTTATTAAAGTTGCGTTTTTAAATTCGTGTAACTAACTGCAGATAAACAAAATCAAATACACGATAAACATCCATTTTAAATATATAAAATCTTAAATATAATTAAAATAATCATTGAGTTCTAATAGAATGTTTAATTATTATCTTTATAAAAGATTATATTATTAAACCAATATAAATTACTTTGTTATTAAATCTAAATTAAATTGTAACAAAAAATTGAATTAAATAAGTTACGCCAAAAAAGAAGAATTATTAGATAGTTAATTTGATATTGGTATCGATTTTAATTTTTTTATGCTATATTCAAATTTATATTTCATTCAAAAATAAAAACATTATCTTTTTCTCAAAACCAAATAAAATCGTGTTATCTCGATAGAGACAATAAATAAAAACTAAACATTAAACTGAAGATTTATGTCGCTGCATTGTGCGAATATCATTCTAATTAATAAAAATTTAGAAATCGTATAAAAAAATATTTTGAGGACAGTAGAATGAAAATTTAAGAAACATAAAATACAATAACATTTAAAAAAATGAATAAAATATAAAAAGAAGACTTATTTGATGTTTTAAAAGAGAATTAAGTTTTATTTTGAGGTTATATTGGTAAAATATAAATCCGTTCCACCAAGTTCCATGGGGTAGGGGTGGAACATGTCTGTTCCACTTTGTCCCTTTCTGTTCCACATAAAAGTCATGTCAAACATAAGACAGAGATCTTTGTCATGTTTTGTCATATCCTATACAGTGTTCCAAATGCACCCTTAGTATTAATCGAGTCCATCATTCTTTATATTTGTCCTTTATAGTGTTTTTTTAATGGTTGAAAGTTGATTTTACTAAATAATATTAGAATAGTGCTCGCATAATATAACGAGATACATCTCAATTTTAATATTTAATTTTATTATTTATCTTTGTCAATATAATACGGTTTTTAGTGGTTTTGAAAAAACGATAATGTTTTTATTTTTGAATAAAATATAAATTTAAAGATATAATAAAAATTTGGAAAAAAGTATATCGATATCAGTACCAATTTTATTATTTAAAGTTTTTATTTTTTTTTTGTGTAATTTTTTAATTCAATATTTTATTTATAATTTAATTTAGAATTAATAACGAAGTAATTTATTTATCGTTTAATAATATAATTTACTTGTGATATTGAATTTTAAATAATATGCATCAATAAACAGTAGTTTATACATAAAAATTGGTTTTTAAGAGTTTTTATCAAATGYTTTATTATATAGTATAAATTTATATCAATGATATAATAATATAATATATTATATTATATTTAATATTATTATTATTATTTAGAATTCATATATAATATATTATATTTCCCATATTATAATCGCATATTAGATTACTTTTTGTAGAATATTATTTTTGAAACAACATATTTTAAAAAGTTTGTTGGAAAATACCAGTTTATATAAATTAATTTTTAAATTATTATTTTATAAAAAGTTTGTTGAAAGGTACCGATTTAGAATTTTAGATAAAGTGTGTTAGAACTTATTATTTTATATAAAATTTATTAGAAATTATTTTTTTCCTAAAATGTTTTTTGAAACTTATTAATTTATATAAACTATAAGAGAACTTGCACAATGTAACGAGATATAATGTTCTATTTTATTATTTGTCTCTGTCGATGTTATAATACGATTTTATGTATTTTTAAAAAAGTAATAATAATTTTATTTTTGAATAAAATATAAATTTGAAAAAAAATATATCAATGTTAATATCAAATCAATTATTTATAAGTTTTTATTTTTTTAATATAATTT